TTTTACTTCTACCCATCCTTCCAAAATAGTCGAGTGCTACAACTTCAGGAGATTTTTTTTTTAGTAATGTATGTCAATGTCTTGTTGATTTGTTTCAAACACAAAGAGCTTGTACATTTGACTTAGTCATTTTTTCAACTAGCAACTTTCTATATTTAACACACAAACCACTTGAGTCCAATGCTGATGGCAGTTCTCTGTGGGCTACACTGGCCCTTTGAAGTACGAGATGCACATCAGCTCCTCCAGTCTGCATATTTGCACATCCATTTCCTCCATCCAGCTGCAGAAGCTCTGGATGGTGACTTCTACATCTGCACTTGAAGGAACTGTTGAACGTCCTAGATTCTGCTCTCTGCTCCTAGCTTCTATCCCACTCCTTTTCTTTTTCTCCTTATTATTATTTTCCCCTCTTGCTTTTACTGTTCAAATAGTTATTCAAGGCTGCAAACGTCCTTCTATATCTGTCTACAAACCTCTTGTGAAACTACTCTTGGTTCTACCTTTGCTCTGCATTCTACACAGGTCATTTGCATCTGCTGCCTGTTTCACTTACACAGTTTTTCAGGCACTGCTGCATAGAGAAATTTTTCTTCTAATCCTTGTATCCAATTTCTAATTCAAAACAGTCAGAAGACAGGTCTACCCAGGAGAAAGGCCAAAGTCATACTTAGTCATTCCTGCAAGCACATACACACAAAGATTTGATGATCATTTCAGAAATGTCAGGAGGTTAATAGCAGTCACCTCTATTTATGCAGGCATCTAGAAAAAAAAAATCACTCATTCTGAGTGCATGTGTGTTGGGAAAGATGGAGATAGGAAGAAAAGCCTTTGCAAAGGACTAAACCTACTCCCTTTGTCCTAAAGAGTCACAGAGAAATATCAAGGCAGCCACCACACCCTGCAAATCACAGTAACCTGGCAGTGTAAGTCCAATGTTGCCAAAGAGACAACCTTTAAAAAGAAACTAATTGTAGTGCCTCTGTGATAACGTATTTAAGAAGAGAAGAAAAAAACCCCAAAATCTACAACACGGAAACTAGCCAGAGAGATGAGTGAGATATGTGAGAGAAAAAAAAACTTTGCAGACACCAAGGTCAGTGAAGAAAGAGGGGGAGGAAGCGCTCCAGGAGCTGGAGCAGAGGTACCTGTGCAGCCTGTGGTGAGTACCATGGCAAGTAGGCTGTCCCCCTGCAGCTCGTAGAGGTTAACGGCGGAGCAGATGTCCACCTGCAGCCCACAGAGGACCCCATGTCAGAGCAGGTGGATGCCGCAAGGAGGTGGTGACCCTGTGGAAAGCCCACACTGGAGCAAGGTCCTGGCAGGACCTGTGGACCTATGGAGAAAGGAGCCCAGACTGGAGCAGGTTTGCTCTCAGAACTTGTAACTCTGCGGGGGGACGCAGGCTGGAGTACTCTGTTCCTGAAGGACTGCACCCTGTGAAAGGGACACATGCTGGAGCAGTTTGTGAAGAACTGCAGCCTGTGAGAAGAACCCGTGTTCGAGAAGTTCATGCATGACTGTGTCCCATGGGAATGGCCCTATACTGAAGCAGGGGAAGAGTGTGAGGAGTACACTCCCTGAGGAGGAAGGAGCAGCAGAAACAACGGGTGTTGAACTGACTGCAACCTCCATTCTCTGTCCTCCTGTGCTGCTGGAGGGGAGGAGGAGAAAAAATTGGGAGTAAATTTTAGCCTGAGAAGAAGGGAGGGATGGGGGAAAGGTGTTTTGAGGTTTGTTTTTATTTCTCATTATCCTACTCTGATTTGATTGGCAATAAATTAAATTAGTTTGCCAAACCTGAATCTGTTTTACCCATGATGGTAATTGCTTAGTGATCTCTCCCCGTCCCTATCCTGACCCATAAGTGTTTCATTATGTATTCTCTCCTCTGTCCAGCTCAGGAGAGGAGTGATAGATTGGCTTTGGTGGGCACCTGGCAACCAGACAGGGTCAACCCACCTCAAAAAAAACCGAATTAAACCTTTTCAGCATAAAAAAGAAAGGCAATGTTTTTCAACACTGATGACATTTTTCTCTATGTGCATTTTCTCACTCTTTATTCCAGCAGTTCTCTGACATTTTTAAATTGTCTTTAGTGCCAAACCTTCATTCCAAATAGATCAATCCAAGCTGAGTGTGATGTAAGAATCAATATGGCTTGGAAAGAATTAAACCCATTTCTCTTTTGAGCCTTTGAAGACTCTTAAAATGTCAGATATTTTTTCCATTAACTGTATGGTAGCCAACCTACTAAACAGCTGGAAGGTACTACTTACTTTTTTTTAAGGATTGCTCTGAAGTAGCGAAAGATTAATCTTTAAAGACTATTGGCTGCTACAGGAATCTGACAAGCTACCTACACAGACATGACACAGGGATCTGTGAGGCATCTTTATCCAAGGAATTTTTGATCTTCCTCTTCTAGCACTGCAAAATCTGACATATGAGAGGCCTTTCTGTGGCAAAAATCTTACTTTTACTATCACTGCAGGGAAAATAAAATTACTTTCTAAATCATGACAAAAGCAAATCTTTAAACAGCGAAACAGAATTGCTCAAGCTTCTCTTGAAATTATTTGCCTGCTGCTTTAACACTAGCACAATTCTTGTCAGTGTTGGTAACTGCAAAAAAAATTGTGTAAAGCACATCAGCTACTAAGTTGGCAGTATTGTTTGCTGAGACATTTTTCTGGTGATTCCCCTCTGAACGCCAAGAAGAGAACATGAGAGGCATCAGCATGGTTTTGGGAGAGAATTGGATAAGAAAGCCAACAAAACTGGGTTTTCATGAAAAGATGGTCGGAATTGTCATGTGGTAGTACTTAAAGACTACATTCAAGGAAAGAGAATACAGTAGGGAAACCCTGTATCTCTTAGAACCAAATTTTTAAACAAAGCTAACTGAGAAATTGAACAGGTGAATCCAAAGAAATAAGTGAAGATTTCTATTAAAAAAAACCCCAACAAAACCCAACCAGTAGTCAGGCACAACACCAAATGGGAAATTAGAGATTTTCCTTCATCATGCACAACTCCTCAGCTAGCAATGAAATAATCTAATACTTCTACCCTCTGTCAAGCTTTTCCAGGCACAATATTGAGCACATCCAGCCTCATCTCTGCAGGCTGTTATGGGGTTCTCCATTTCTCTAATAAGAGGTACCTTACTGAGCAACTTTCTCCACTTCAAACTTTTGTACCAACTCCAATTCAATCAACGGTGATATTGTACAAGCTGTTTGAAAGATGAGACCTTACATAGTCGCAACTCATCTGTTGTTTCCTCTTCTCACCTGAAGATAGATATTTGCCCTGCCATTCCAGCATGTGTGGGCACACATAGTAATAAACCTTTAATAAACACCAGAAGGACCACTTTGATTGAGAGCAAAGTTGATTCATATTGGGAGGGAGATGAAAGAAGAAATACCTTAGGAAGTTATTTTGCTCACAGTCCATTAGTAAAAGGTCTAAATAAAGTACTCTATGAGCAATATCTGGGCCACTAAAACGCCTTTAAATTACAGCTCTCATAATTGGAGTTACCGCTATAAGAAAAGGTCAAAAGCTTGATCTGGTTTGCTTGAAAAAAATGAAGGTCCTATTAAAATGTAACTTATAATAGCAGGCTTTATACTGATAAGGGTACATTTTTCAGACTGATTTTATGCAGTGGTGATGTTTTCAGTAAACGAATGGCACTTCCCAGCACTAATGCTGCTGTGATGGGAGTAGAGAAGGTACAACTTTCCTAAATCTGGACATGGGCAGTTGTACATTATGATATCTGGCTCGGTCTCTTATTTTGCATTCAAGATTTTTAGTCTTGTAGTTTTGACTGCTTCTGTGCAGTGTGTAATGCTTGGCTAGGTCCTTTATTAAATTCAGAATAAACCAGTGCATTCAAGTCACTTCCACAAAATGTTCCCCCGAGTCAGAGAGACTGCTATCACATCTGACCAACTAAAAAAATTTCTAATCGCACTCTACAGTTTCTGCCCCTCTGTTGGAGTACATTTTGCTGAAAGACATCAACATTAAATTAAAAGAAACAACAAGGAAAATGTCCTCTCAGAAACGCATTTGGAGCTAGCTAAGCGTGTGTGCGAAGAAGGGGGAAATTGAGCTGGTCAGGAGATTTCATCAAAATGCAACTTTTGTAGTCATGGTATTACAGAATCATATAATGTTTCAATATGGAAGGGACCTTTAAAGGCCATCTAGTCCAACCCCTCCGCAGTGAGCAGGGACATCTTCAACTAGATCAGGTAGCTCAGAGCCCCACTCAACTTCACCTTGAATGTTCGAGGAATGAGGCTGCTTCCATGCCTGGGTAAACTGTTCCTTCCATTCGACCGATGTTGATGCTCCACTGGGAAAAAAACCAATTGTTTATCTCTGTGGAAGATGAGGGGATGGAGAAATATAGTGAATGGACTACATTTCATAGAATCATAGAATTGTCAGGGTTGGAAGGGACCTAAAGATCATCTAGTTCCACCCCCCTGCCA